GAGGTTTCGGTCCGACTTGGACCATCTACAAGGTCAAGGTCACACTAACAGAAAAGAGAGAAGGGAGCATATATAGGCCAGCAGACAGGGACGGGACAAGAGAGGTAGTAGGAAAAGAAGAGTAGTGGTAGAGGTAATAGTAGTAGTATTGGAGTCATTCAAAGACTAAGAAAGAGGAGCATTGCAAGGGAGCTAGGGGTGCACAAAGGGTAGGAACAAAAACACAGGGGGGGGGGGGACAAAAATAGTAATGGACCAAACACCCAAGGCAGAAGAAAGAAAACCCAAAGGAGGAAGAGGAAAGGGAAGAGGGAGGAGGAGAAAAAAGAATCAGGTCAAGTCATGGGTGTTCTGAAGTGACTTGATTCTTTTTTCTCCTTCTTCCTCTTCCCCTTTCCTCTTTCTCCTTTGGGTTTTCTTTCTTCTGCCTTGGGTGTTTATATTGTGCCTTTTTGTTATTTATATAGGAGCAAAGAGAGTTGGGTTTAAGGATCTGCTTTACATATGGTACTTCTCATACATTCTTGTTCTTTTATGCCATCATGTGTGTTATTGACCTTGTTCCTGAATGCAAATATTTTCAACTAGTGTTTGTAAGTCAGAGACTTCCTGTCTATGTATAGAATTTTTTTACTTATCAGTGCTTTTGCATGTTTGTATTTTGTATACACTACTTAGGATATATGCCAATAGATTCTGTTCAGTGATCAAGGTTTAACTAGATATTATGCTTTCATTTACAGATAGCTGTTTTAATTATAAATAAGCATTACTGTATACATATACAGTCAAACACTGAGAAGCTACATCCTTGGGACCAGGAGTATTTTGTCCTAAAATTTTTTGCAATTGAACAATGAAAAACTATGGAATATATAATTGTGTATAGATCTTAACATATTTTGAGGCATGAAAAATGCATTCCTGCATAAAGATTCCCCCTACATTCAGACCAACACACACCACCTGAGTCCCAGTAATGGCCAAATTTACACATTGCACTTCATGTTATGCCTCCTTCGCCTCTGATTGGTTGTTCATGCATGCTTGTTTGACAGCATCACCTGGGATCTGATCCTTACTCAAAGCTCCAGTTGGTTACCAAAACTCAACAGTTGAGGGAGATAGCAGAAACCATAGGCTCTCAGGGCTCTTTACAAAGAAATGCCCAGGTAAATGCAGGGGGGGCAGATGGATGAGCACCTTCAAATAAAAGGGAATAAGCTTTTCTGTGATGGAGTAGAGGGTGGCAGATATCTTAAAAATAAAGGTTAAGCTGATAGAGGGAGGCAAGACTCCAAAATGACTACCAAGGTTGTGGTCATTATTATTATTATAATCAAGGGGAAGCGCTAAACCCAGAGGATTATACAGCGCCTGGGGGGGGGGGATGTGGAAGGCATTCAGGCTTAATTCGGGGAACTGGAGCACAGATCCAATTCCCTAAATCAAGAGCCCCTCACCAACATCAAGGAACCTTCCTTGAGGGGAAGGTTGTGGTCAATATAAGCAGCATGACCACGTTCACTTCATTCATTCATGTTGATTCGCTGGTACTTCCGGCCCGGGTCTTTTCCAGATGGTGACCCGGCAACCATGTTCACTGTTAGTGTTAGCAGACTAGGGGCTTTCTATATATGTTATTGATATCAGCCAGATCTGTATACTACAGTGGAACCTCAAATATCAAAAACTTTCTTCGTTCCAGATGGCTGTTCGAGTGCCGTTATCGAATGAATTTATTCCCATCAAGAATAATGTAAATTAGATTAGTTCATTTCAGACCCTCAAAAACACACTTACATAATTGGTCGAGTTGGGAGCAGTTCGATATTTAAGGTTCCACTGTACCTTGTATATGTAGAAATAGATTATTATTATTTTATTATAATGTGGGTTGCCATTTAGTTCCAGTGCATCAAAAATGGCAGCTGATGAGGTTGCTGAAATCCTTGAGTTGTAGAACACACATTAAGGGCAGTGTCCCAGGTAGAAGTGGCATCAAAGGAGAAAAAATGAAAAATCAGGCAACCACTTGAAGGTACCCCTTTGGGGCTCTGTAATACTACTACTACTACTGCTAATAATAATAATAATATTATTATTATAATCAAAAAGAAGCACTAAGCCACAAGGGCTATAATAATAATAAGACTTTCATTTTTCCTTTTTAGGCCACCCTGCCTTGGTGGGATATGGCTGGTTTGTTGAAAGAATATTATTATAAAGAACACTAAACTGACAAGGGTCATACAGCGCTGCTGTTAAAAAAAATAATACTAGAGGGCCTAGGTAGTAGGTTGGTAGACAGCAACCGCCCAGGGAGGTACTACCGTCCTGCCAAGTGAGTGTAAAACGAAAGCCTGTAATTGTTATACATGATGGAAAAAAAAGGACACCAGCAATCCTACCATCTCATGAACATGCAAGATTTCAGGTACGTCTTGCTAATTCTACTTACACTTAGGTCACACTACACACATGTACAAGCACATATATGCACACCCTTCTGGGTTTTCTTCTGTTTTCTTTCTAGTTTCTTATTCTTGTTTATTTCCTCTTATCTCCATGGGGAAGTGGAACAGAATTCTTCCTCCGTAAGCCATACGTGTTGTAAGAGGCTACTAAAATGCCGGGAGCAAGGGGGCTAGGAACCTCTTCTCCTGTATATATTACTAAATGTAAAAGGAGAAACTTTCGTTTTTCCTTTTGGGCCACCCTGCCTCGGTGGGATACGGCCAGTGTGTTGAAAGAAGAATACTAGGGGATGTTGACTTGGGCCAGCCACCACTAGAAACACACTTGTTGCACCCAAGGAGAGAGATCGTAACAAGTGATGGGTTGTAGGTGGGTTACCAGAGCATCCTCCATACCCCACAGGAATGCCATTTATTTTTACCCAGGCAGTTCGGTAGTTGTCACGACATCATTTGTGAGAGATTCAGGTTGTGTGATACTGGAAAAAAAAAAGACACTGTGCAAAGCAAAACTTCCTTTATAGACTATGTTTCTCCATAGGTAGCATTTTATTGACAAAGCTCTACTTTATAAAAAACATTTGTATGTAATGAAATAAAATCACAGTAAACAGGTGATGTCTCAATATGCAGTACAACCACTGTGAAAGAATAGCGAAATTCCAAGCGCTTTCATGACTTCTCACATTATCAAGGAACTGATAATGTGAGAAGTTACAAAAGCACTTGGAGTTTTGCTATTCTTTCACAGTGGTTGTTCTGCATTTATATGTAAATAAAGGTTTACTCTGTACAGTCTCTTTTACTGAATTTGTCAGAAAGTCTTGCCATCCAACAGTGTGATACTGCTGAATTGATCTTCACATTGTTCAGCAATAATGTAACCTTCTTGTAATACTCAACAAGGCTGTGCTAATTATAAACTTGCATATATACAAAGGGAGGGTAGCTTGCCCACCTGTTAGCACATCCACATGAATACAGCAATTTTCTGTATGTAAATTGTCAGTACCGTACTACACTTTGTTTCCATAAGAAGGAGATTAATCAAAATCAAGTGCTAAACCCATGAAGGTCATACAGCAACAGTAGCTGACACGAAGGAATATTTATCTCTGTCTCCCTCACCATTAATCTGACCCAAGATGTTTGGGTTCCTCACTTTGCACCATTTGTCTTGTGCAAGTATTTTTTTTTATAAGTGTTTAATATGTCATCACACTGTGTAATTTCACTTACGGACTAAAGGTAGATCGTGCAAGTGTCTGTTAATATTTGCCGGTCCTCATTCTGAGTGACCTCTTGGTCTAGCTCCAACAGGTCTGTGGGTACACCTGATGCAGAAGTTTATTATAATTAGAATGACATTACTCACTGTTATTGCTCCAAGGGTTATAAAAGAACCTCTGGATGACATTCTAGGAGCTTAGGCTAATAAATACAGTCTGCCTAAGGCATATGCTGCTTCTGGTGTCACAACCTGACTAACAAATAAAACTATATGCATTCCACAAGTAGTTTTCAATGTTTCTTAATATACAATACATGCAAAAGTTTGAGTCCTTTTCTAAGACATGGATGGGATTAAGTGTGTTAAGTTTATGAGGGTAATATGAATGAAGTCTACCTTTCCCCTTTTTGGAGAGAAATTATGAATAATGAGAGAGATCTGACAAGGTAAATTCAATCCAGTTACTGGTATGATTTGTCCTGGACTTTATAACAAGGTTTAAATAATGTTCCAGTTACCACAGTAATGATATGGAGCATTTTTAATAAAAGGGTTTACAGAGTCATAATTTTTTTTTTTTTAACACGTCGGCCATTTCCTGCCGGGGACAGGTGACCAAAAAAAGAGAAAAAAAACTTTCATCATTCAACACTTTCACCATCACTCGTACATAATCACTGTTTTTGCAGAAGTGCTCAGATACACCAGTTTAGACATCCCTCCAAACTACCAATATCCCAAACCCCTCTTTTAAAGTGCAAGCACTGTACTTCCCATTTCCAGGACTCAAGTCCGGCTAACTGGTTTCCTTGAATCCCTTCACAAAATATTACCCTGCTCATAATTGTGAACTTTTAATTAATATAATAGAGGTGAGAAACAGTTTCTGATGTACATCATCCTCACACAATATTCAGGACATCTAACTGGTGAGCAAGTTATGCTCCTGCTTATCGATATAATGAATAGTTCATTTAGAAAATCATTTCGAGGTTAGTAATGTTTCACGTATTTGTACCTCAGCTCTGTGGTTGTAAGACTAACTGATTACTGTGTGTCCCATGTGTGAGTGCAGATGTATGTAACATAGGCTGTTGGTAATGTGGAGACCTGTATTGTTCGTTTTTAACACTATTTTCCACAAAAGTAAAGGTGGCCCATATTAGGAAACATTTGCATTTACCATTTCTTAGCTGTCCTTACAGAGTAGACATCACTATTTGAATGATCCACCAAAATGCAATATCCCCATCCATCCTTTAGTATTCAGGCATTTTTCTTCCCACCTCCAGAACTGCAGCATCTCCACTCATTATTCAAGAGTTCATCTACCATATGCTTCATCTCCAGAACTGCAACATCCTTGCTCATCCATGAGAGTGCAATTATGTACTTCCTGCATCTAGAACTAACATTCCCACCCATCTTTGAGAGTGCAGGCACTATTTCCCACCTGACCTACAACATTAATACCCTACCCATTCTTCAGAGTGCAGGTAAAACATCTCACTTCTAGAATTACAATATCCTCACCTGCCCTTCAAACTGCAGGCACAGTACTTCCCACTTCCACAACTCAAAGTCTGGTTAATGTGCATTACTATGAAAAATAAATACCACAGTCTGTATATATAATTTTGTCTCTCTTAACCCATAGATTATATCACCCACACTTTCATTTACATTTGCCAGTAATAATTGGGGGTTATTTTAGACCTAAATACCATAAAGGCAAAACTCAGGTAGCCACCCATCGAGACTGTAGATCTCGGGACCCTAGCAGTTTGTGTACTACCAGAAATTTGCCAGTGTACTGAGTGGTATCGGTTCATTTGAGTACTGATATATCGTCTTATTAATATTGCTTACTCCTGACATTAGTGAACTTGAGGCTTAGAATATTGATGGATAGATTCTCTCGAGTTCATTTGAAGAATGTTATTATAACAATCGTCATTACATGCATCACATCGGGGACAACTTTCATCACTGCCATCAATCTTCGTTCACTAAATGTAATGGCAGCAGCAGAGTTCTTGAATTGTTAATGCAGTTGTTCACTAAGGTGTTAATGTATGTAATTTTTGTAAATTGGTTTTACAATATACAGTAGTCACTGTGATACACAATTCTGGTTGCAATATTTAATTAGCAATTCTTCTCATGCATCTGATGACCATATTTGCCTGCAAGATATAACAACGTCCTGTCTGCATCATGGTATGACTGGCCAAGTGAGATTTAACACAGTTTGGAATGACAGTTGTTTTTTAATTGGGGGGGGGGGGGAGGAGCTAAACCAACAGGGAATACAGCACCTTGAGAAATGGGAGACATTCAGGTTTGATCAAAGGAAGGATAAATCCAGTTACTTGAATCAAGAGCTCTTTACTAGCATCAAGGCACCTTTTGTGAGAGGTGTGGCATGAGTAATGTACTATCTTATTAGTATTTACATACACTGTAATTTACTATACAGATAATTTCTTCAAGGAAGGTGCCTTGATGTCACTGAGGGCTCTTGACACCAGGAAGTGGGCCTATCATCATCATCATCCTCGAATCGAACCTACTTGCCTCGTATTTCCCATGCACTATATAACCCCAGTGGGTTTAGTGCTTAACCCATTATTATTATTATAATCAAAAAGAAGCGCTAAGCCGGTGCTTAACCCATGATTAGAATAATATAGGCTTCATTTCCTTGCTTGGCCTTATCCTATATTCACATAACTTGTCATATTTGATTTATGGCACACCACTAACTCCCTTCCCTGAATTGCAATCTTGAAGGGGCACTTGATCCAAGGAATTCGACTCTTCTGTTCCTTCCTTCAAACCTAACTACAATACCTCCTATTCCTTAGGTGTCAAATGACCCTCATGGGCTTAGCAATTCCCCACGAGTATAATAATAATAATAATAATGCAATACTTGTATAGCTATTAATTATTTTTATTGTGTATGTTACTTGAAATTTTGTTAACAGCGTTGTTTTGTTAGCTCGTCACCTCTTGTTTACCTCTCAGTTTCAGGTCTCATTGGTTTCAAATATTAGGTGAATTACTTTATAAACTATCCATAAGGTCATTTCCATTTTATTGGCCTCTCTTTTAAGCTCGGCAACCAGCTCTCACAAAAGTGGGTTGACCCAATCATTTATTCAGTCTCTGTCTAGCCAGAAGTTTGCTGATGTCACAGTGCAGATTACACACCAAGTGTAGCATACAAATCCTTCCTTCACTGCTCTTCCCACCTCCCAGACTCGAGGCAAAGCTTTTACCTTCCCCCTCCCTCCAACTGTTCTTTGAAGATCCTTATCCCTCGCACCTTCCACCCTGAAGCCCTCTGAATCATACCCTTGGTGACTCCCATACTGTCTTTTAATTTCTACACTGAAACTCTCCACAGTATTCACATGACACATTGCTCTCAAGCACTACTCCTCCACTGCCTTTAGCTTCCTTCTCAATGCAATGTTCCAAGTCCATGCCTCACACTAACACAAGTCTTGACAACACTTTATTCTGGTACATTTCCTTTTTTACCTTCACTGATAAACTTCCTTCTTTCCACAAATACCTCATCACCTACCTCACCTCACCCCCCCCCCCCCACTTTTTTCTCATCATCTGTTGTTTGGGGTCTCTGAAACATGAGATGAACATCTGCTGACATGTCCATTCCCAAACAATACTCCCTCCCATATATTCAACCTATTATCACTTAAAATTTGTTACCCTCATTACCTTGCTCTTTTCTACATCTGCTTTTAATTTTCTTATTTTTACATACTTTCCCAAATGCATCTACCAACCTGTGCAACTTTTTTCAGAATCTTCTAAAAGAAACGTGTTAACAGGTGAAAGCAACTGTGACAACTCCCAATTTGTAATAAAGTTGGTAGAATTACCGACAATATGTAAAGTAAAAGGACACAAATGCAACTAATGTGACTTTTTATTGTGGCAATGTTTCGCTCTCCAGGAGCTTTATCAAGCCATTACAAACAATACATGGACACAGAGGGTATATAAAGGCTCAGAGTGAGGGGCAATACTAGTGAGGTACTATTTCAATGTTCACTAGTGGTAATAGCAGTAGTAGTAGTAGTAGTAGTAGTAGTAGTAGTGACAAAAGTAATACAATATGGTAGAGCAATTAATTCGTACATGAGTAAAAGGATATAAAAGCTATTACTTGGGTAACATAAAAATAGGTTGGGCAAATATAGACTGGAAAGAGGCAGCTTGTTCCAGTGTTCACTCTCTGTAATGTGCTTTGAAAACAGTAAACCCTGCCATCACATAGTCTCTCCTGTTATACTACACAAAGCACATTACAGAGAGTGAACATTGGAACAAGCTGCCTCTTTCCAGTCTATATTTGCCCAACCTATTTTTATGCTACGCAAGTAATAGCTTTTATATCCTTTTACTCATGTACGAATTAATTGCTCTACCATATTGTATTACTTTTGTCACTACTACTACTACTATTACCACTAGTGAACATCGAAATGGTACCTCACTAGTATTGCCCCTCACTCTGAGCCTTTATATACCCTCTGTGTCCATGTATTGTTTGTAATGGATTGATAAAGCTCCTGGAGAGCGAAACGTTGCCACAATAAAAAGTCACATTAGTTGCATTTGTGTCCTTTTACTTTACAACTCCCAATTTGTAGCAGATCCAACATCTTGACTCCAACACCTCATCATTACACCCTAGCTATTCACTTTTTACAAACCCATCTATAAATGAATTTAACAACCACGACATCTCTTTTTAAGGGAAACGGTTCTTCGTCCTACATACCCTAATCTATCTCCATAAAAAGTCTTTAAGGCTTTTAGTAACCTACCACCTATTCCATACATTGTAAATCTCTGCCACATGGCTCCCCTCTCCACCCTATAATATACCTTTTCTAAATCTATAAATGCAACAAATATATCTTGATCTTTATCTAAATACTGCTCACCTATAAACTCAGCATAAGCACTTAGTCTACACATCCCAAATTTTTAAAAAAGTACACACAAAAAATTAAGACTAACATTTTCAAGGATCATGCAATACTAAAATATTCATGAACATGGAACCTAAATTAATGTTACAAGGAATGTCTTGGATCAAAATAGTTACTATACTCTGGCTCATAGTACATATACAGTAACAAATTTTTTAAATGTGTTCAGTATTAATAATAGCTTTATAGACTAAAAGATTCATAAGAATAGTGTGACAATCATTACAGTAATTCCATAAATCTGGCTTGTTTGAGAAGTGCTTGTGAAACTAGCATGGCTGCGGTCCCAAGGATGCAATTTTCTAATGCGTTTACTGTATATAATATATAAACCTAAAACCATTATTATGCTAATTACATTATAATTTACAATGTTAAATTTTAAGTGTACACTAACTCTCATCTATGAACATAGCATTCCAAGGTGTTTAGTCATAGGTTTTGCACTATACATACATGGGATTTCAAAAGTATTACCATATTCTGTTGTCTATAATCAGGGTTCGCCAACACATTATCATCTGTGGCCAGCGACGTCCAAGTTCCAGGAGACCTGCCCTAGAGAATTAAAGTCACCCCTCCTACCTCATCAGGCAGAAGCAACTCTTCTGAACTCCACTCCACCAGAGACCCTCAGAGAAACAATTCAATATCTTCCAGAATGTTAAAATCCAGCCTACTCTCAAGCTGCCTTCAAATTTGCCAATTTCTTTAAAACTCCAATGATGTTTTAGGAGCCAGAGCTTGGAAAAACACTGTTTGCCAATACTTTCCTTGTCTTGGATGTACAAGTCCTCAGCAATATCAAGTCATTGAGAATATTAACTAATTGGCTAGACATAACAGTATCTGTGTTCCCACTTCAGGGAAAGTTATCTGCTCTAGAAATTCAAACAATAATTTTTCTTAATTTGATAAAAATTGGAGCACAAAAACAGAAAACTGTACAATTTACAGGGAAGTGCATATAGATTGTGAGATCACTGGCATCATCAAGAGTTGCCTTGTTACATCCCATTTCTCAGCTGAAAGAGAACTTTCTTCGCTTCACAATCTCCCAGGCTCTGTAGAATTCCTACATGTTAAGTGTTCCCATCCCCATCAATATAATTGTAATTTCGCAATTTCGATAATCCAGAGTGTTACCCTGATGGGGTCACTATTGTACATACTCCTGGAGAATTGAGACAGCATGTGTAGTGTAACACCAACTAACATTCTCACATCATGACAGATCACAGCCATCCCACTAAGACCACAGAGTCTAGCATGGGTAAGCCAGGGTTTGCTACTACCATGGCTTACCACTGGGCCTATGCTACTTCACCTTCACTGTCTTGTCATGAGGCCAAACAGGACACTGTCTTGCCATGCCTCTATCACAAGGCTAAACAGAATATTTTATGACAGACCCATGTCAACTTTCATTTTTTACCCTGATGAGCAAACTAATGCACAGCTCTCAGGGTTAATCAGGAGGTGCTGATGATCATAGGGAAGAGACAGTCAACAAGCAGAGACCGTGAGCCATCAATGTTTCTTCAACTCTTAAGAACCAAGTTTGTCTCGTCAAAGCAGCTAATGATTCAAGTGTGATGGGTTCCCGCTCCCTTGTCTCAGTGCTCAAAGAATTTAACTTGTTAGTGTAATTGTTTATTACAAAGCCCAACCAAACTACTCAATAAAGCTCATACCATAAATAACTATTGGTATGGTATTCACAACCTTAACCCTAGACTACAGAGGCACAGGTACAAATTTGACTTTTTCCGTCCTCAGTTATAGACGTCACATTTAAATCATTATTACTTCCTCCCCCTCTTCAAAGGTGCTTTGTAGTAGGCGAGGGGCTCTTGATCCAAGAAGTTTAACTTGTCTTCCCTTTACTAAGACTGAACCTGATTGCCTCCTATTTCTCCCAAGAGCTGTAGGACTCTTGGTGGGTTTAGCGCTCAAAATTTAGTAGTACATGTACATTATTACTCATTACACCATCCCCACAGGGTGCTTTCCTGACTAAGAATTCAGAATCTCTCACAACATAAATGGAGGGTCTATTTCCTCCCATCTAAATCTGATGACACAAGGCCACTAAGACTCATGAACCACGAGTTCAGGTTGTGGTACGAGACTGAATTGTTTTAATATCTTTGTACTTGTAGAAATAAAGTATACAGGACTAGTTGACATAAATGACATACTACCGTAGAAAGCCCTTTGCTATGCAGAGCATTTCTTGCAAATTAGGTTAATTTTATCCCAGGATGCGACCCACACCAGACGACTAACACCCAGGTTCCTATTGTACTGATAGGTGAACATGTAATTATAATTTCTTTAATTTTAATCAGTCATAATGTAGTAGCAGGTTGAAAATCAATGTGCAAATTTGATGATGTTAGTTATAAAGCAATATATAACCAGACGGTTCCAGTGGTCCTGTCCCTGGAAAGGGACAGGACCAGTGATACTAGTGGGTGGCTCTTGACTCAAGTAATTAGAGCTGACCTTCCCTTGGATCAAACCTGATTACCCTTATCTTCCCTCCCCATTAGCCAGGTACTTTCTTGAACATAAGACAACGCCAATGGTACCAAGGAAGCAAAAATATTGAATGGCCCTTGTATCAAGACAAGAGCTCTTGATTCAAGGAATTGGAGCTACCCTTTCTTTCCTTGGATCGAACCTCCCATTTTCCAGGTAGTGTGTGACCCCTGCAGGTTTAGTGGTGCCATATCTATGGACAGACAAATATCTTGTTTAAAGGAGAGAGAGACCTGAACTACCTATCAGCTTCACCGATTTCGAGTAACTGGCGCTATACTCCCCTTCCTCGGATCAAACCTGACTGCAAATACTTATGGCTCATGAGGATTTAGCGCTTCCTCATGAACATAAATTTGTCATGAAGCGCTTAACCCGTAAGGGTCGTATAGGAAATGAGGATAATTCATAGACTACGTCTAGTATGAAAAATTACGAAGACAAGTTCCTTGATGCTAGTGAAGAGGGCTCTTGATCCAAGGAGTTGAACCTGTCCTTCCCTTTCTAAGATCCAACCTGAATACCTCCCAATTCCCCCTTCCCCAGGAGCTAAAAGCTTCCTACTGGTTTAGTGCGTTCCTCTTATTAAAATACAACATACCGTAATGGACACGGATTTTTTTTGTGTGTGTGTGTGTGTGTGTGTGTGTGTGTGTGTGTGTGTGTGTGTGTGTGTGTGTGTGTGTGTGTGTGTGTGTGTGTGTGTGTGTGTGTGTGTCCTGACGACTTTTCGTGGCTATGATTATTTTCTGTATTTTTTTTTGTACCAACATCGCTGTATGGTCCTTATGGGTTTAGCGCCTCGCTTGAATATCAGAGTAATTGTAACACTACATATTTTTCCCGTGGGTATCCCTTTTTTTTTTTTTTGTCTACCCTTACGAACACTTCTCGGCTTTTTTTTAAATGGTTAATGAGGTTTAAATTCTATCTACTATACGATGATCATTAAGGCTGCACGTTACCTGTTTACCACCTGTCAGGAATACTTTGATACCTAAAATAGATATTAAAGGTATCCAGTAGCGAACTATTTGCTGCCACCCAGGTACCTCCTCACTGTCACATAGGTACCTACTTATTGTCACCCAGGTACCTACTTATCTGGTTGACCAGATTTAAATGGAAAGTGCTGCTTGCTGTACTAACTATAAGCTTGTATAGACGAGGTCGGGCTCAGGTCTCAAAGGCCCGACAGTAGGCAGCGCCAGGGTATCAAACGCCATCTTATGATGGTGCCAGTATAGTCGAGTGGAAGATTTTAACAAAATTGTTTAGCAGAAGGGACAACACGAAGAGGATGTATGCAGAGGAGAAAATAAAAAATTGCAATTTGCAGCCAGTTCCACTAACACCATCACGGATATCCCGAAGGGGAGGATAATCCAGGCCACTAACACCACGAAAATGTAATTTATGCTATATAATGACAATATACACGTATAATATAGCCAAGTCATCAGCATCTATAGTTTCACTGTTGCCAGATTTAAGTGCTATCGTGGCAGCAGACATATTGGAAACAGGGATTTAAATTGGATTGTTTGAGACTTCACTTGTGTTGAGTTTGCTGGAGGGGATACACTGTTGCTAGACGCCATGGATTAAGGCTTATAGAATTGCATCTGTATTGAAAATCATTCATGCCTTCAATTTTTATTTTTGGTAGAAAGGGTGTAGGTTAGCCTGACCATTTGTGATCCTTTGAATGTACCAACAAGTTTTTTATATATTTATTAGTGGTTGCAGGGGATGAGTCACAGCTCCTGGCCCCGCCTCTTCGCTGGTCGCTATCAAGTTCACTCTGTCTTCAAGAACCTTGTCGTATCTCTTCTTAAAGCTATGTATGTATTCTGCCTCTACCATATCACTTTCCAGTTCATTCCACTTCCTGACCAAGGCTGAAGAATACTTCCTAACATCGCTACGACTCGTCTGAGTTTTCAGCTTCCAGTTGTATCCACTTGTTCCCGTTTCCTGTCTCTCAAACATTCTGTAACTATTCACTATGTAAATTCTTAGTATTTTGTACGTTATCATGTCCTTCTGTCCTCCAGTATCATTAGGTTGACTTCCCTTAATCTCCTCTTGTAGGACATACCACTTAGCTTCTGGACTAATCTTGTTGCAATCCTCTGCACTTTCTCCAATTTCTTGACGCGTTTGACCAGATGTGGGTTCCATACTGGTTCTGCATACTCCAGTATGAGCCTGACGTACACGATATATAGTATTGTGAATGACTCCTAACTTTGATGTCTAAAAGCTATTCTTAGATTTGCTAGACGCGCATTTGCTGCATCAGTTATTTGGTTGATGTTCGCCTCAGGTGATATACTCGGTATGATGCTCACCCCAAAGGTTGTCTGAGTAAGGTTTGTAGCCTTTGCCCCGCAAACCTGTATTCCGTCTGAAGTTTTCTAAGTCCTTTCCAAACTTCACAACTCTGCACTTGTTCGGGGATAAACTCCAGGAGTTATTTGTCAGACCAGACCTGCAGCCTGTCCAGATCCATTTGTGGATTTTTCTGGTCCTCTTACGACGTCTGCGAATAGGGACACCTTTGACTATCCCTTCAGTCATTTCATTCACGTATTCAAGAAACAGCGCCGGTCCTAGTACTGATCCTTGTGGAACCCCCACTCGTCACATGCACCCATTCCGATACTTCATAGACTACGATTCATCGTTTCCTTCCTTTCAGGTATGCATTGATCCAGTGTAGTCTTTCCTCGTTATTCCTGCCTGTTCCTTTAGCTTTTGTACCAGTCTCTTGTTCGGTACCGTGTCAAAAACCTCCTCCCCATTCTCTCTCTCGTCTTACTTCTGCCACCTTGTCGTTGAACTCAAATAGGTTTATGACAGGATTTTTCATCCCTGAAGCCGTGCTGGTTGTTCTGATGCATCAAGATCCATCAAGAGATGTTTTGCCTCCTCGTAGTGTCCAGTACCCGTCAGTGTACTCTTCAGTTTTTGTCCCGTTTCCACTCTGAAGACCTTTTTAAATCGTCTGTACAACACTTCACAGACTAGTCATTTTTTTATGAGTTCTTCCTTCACTCGAATTACCTGCTTATTGACTTTTTTTTTTTCTGGCGTGACTGTGAAGGTGTTTCAGTTTCAACTTGGCCTTTGCCGCTGTGTTATTCTCGAGTTATACCTCGGACTCTCAAACTTACTCACTCACTCGCTCTCCCCCTCCCTCTTTCTCTCCCCCTCACTCTCAAATTTGTTTCTGGTTAATTTGCTCACCTCTCTTTTCGTCTGTCCATCACTTTCAAGTTTCCCACATGTTCTTCTACTTTTCTCTTTTTTTTCCTTTCAGTCTCTGGTTGAACCAAGGGCTACTCTGCTTTTGGTATTTAAACATGGGTATGAAGTGTGTGTGTGTGTGTGTGTGTGTGTGTGTGTGTGTGTGTGTGTGTGGTGTGTGTGTGTGTGTGTGTGTACTTGCCTATTTGTACTCTATTTGTGGTTGCAGGGGTCGAGTCATAGCTCCTGGCCCCGCCTCTTCACTGATTGCTACTAGGTCCTCTCTCTCCCTGCCCCATGAGCTTTATCATACCTCGCCTTAAAACTACGTATGGTTCCTGCCTCCACTACTTCACTTTCTAGGCTATTCCACGGCCTGACTACTCTATGACTGAAGAAATACTTCCTAACATCCCTTTGATTCATCTGAGTCTTCAACTTCCAATTGTGACCTCTTGTGTCTGTGTCCCTTCTCTGGAACATCCCGTCTTTGTCCACCTTGTCTATTCCGCGCAGTATTTTATATGTCGTTATCATGTCTCCCCTGACCCTCCTGTCCTCTAGTGTCGTCACGCCGATTTCCCTCAACCTTTCTTCGTAGGACAATCCCCGTAGCTCTGGGACTAGTCTTGTTGCAAACCTTTGCACTTTCTCTAATTTCTTGACGTGCTTGACTAGGTGTGGATTCCAAACTGGTGCTGCATACTCCAGTATGGGTGTGACGTAAATGGTATACAGAGTCTTGAACGTGTGTGTGTGTGTGTGTGTGTGTTGTGTGTGTGTGTGTGTGTGTATAGAGAAAACGAGTATTTTGACCCGTCAGATCCTCTTCAGCACTCCCACGTTATCACCACGCCTGCACCCACGCCCACGTTATCACCATGCCCGCACCC